AATAACTCTTTTCAAGTTGTAATTGAAGATCTAAGACACATTTGGTCCACTACTTCAGAGCAACTAAAAGCTAATGACTTCTTCACCCTGGACTGGTTTTACATAGCAAACTGGCTCTAAAGTATGGAACTAAACCTTTCATTTGCTTCTTTCATAGTTCTGAAAAAAACACATTATAATAGTAATACTATTTCTAAAATAAATCTCCTGACAAAAATCCTAAAATTGAACTCTCGACATCTTACAGTTTTTTTCCTTTAGCTTTGCTCCTTTAAAAAAAAACTTATCCTTTATGTATTTCTCCTAAAGTAATGGAACAGAGCTCAATCTCACAGCTAAAATGACATATTAGAAACAGGTTGTTCAGTGTTTTGAGAAAACATCCTGGGATTCAGAAAAAGTGAGTTGATTTAATATCTTACAGAAAACTTCTTCCCCAAAAAGGTACTCCTTCATTAGTTTTAGAAATCTTTTATTGCATTAACTGCATTAACTGATTGTCAATCATGTTTCTGAAGAGATTTATACTACTTCACTTGTCTTTATTTCCTTCAGAAGGGAAGGAAGGAAGAAGGGAAGTTTGTAAGTTTTTAGGGGAATGACTTACTAACAAAAAGAGGAGAATAAGGTGACGCTGGCATTACTAATCCCTATGAACTCTCCTTTAAATCTGGAGTAATATTCAAATGCTCATTACACTTTAACCACTTAAAAATGGGCATACGGTATTTGTTTTTTTGGTATATTCAACTAGAAGATTCATAATTTAAAGCCAAAGTTACTTTTCAGAGCCCCAGATTAGATGCACTGTCTGATTTCTGTAGCTTTTTAAGTTCACTTCAGAAATATACAAGTTTACTTAATACAATGTCACTGTCTAGTATGTGTATCCTATGTTCAACTTTGCTTTATAGAGGTTCATCTTTCTATGCTATTCCCTAATTTCAAAGGATCAAATTTAAAAAATAATAAAAAGTTACATAAGTTTAATAAAAAACTAATATCACTACTTAGCTATGTGCAGCTGCCAGTTATTCTTTCTGTGGTTGTATGGCATATAATGTGGCTTAAAATTCAACAACATTTCATACAGGAATTATTCACAACTATGATCTAATCTTAAAACTTAAGTGATCCAACAAAATTCCTGGGAGAAAAATTTGAAGAAACTGGGATTCTTATTTTAGGCTTCCAACTTTCACTCCTAAAATTTCTAGGCCATCTCCAAATATACATGCAGTCTATCAAAATGGAGGGTATAAGCATGAGGGTGCGCCAATGGTCAAGAAAACATCATGTAATCAAATCTTTAAAGTCTGTTATATATGATTATGTGATGTTCCCTAAATCTGTAGCATCTGAAAGGCAGTCAGATATACTTGGAAAATGTGTATTTCAGCTTCAACCATGGTGAAAAAACCCATGTTAGAGAAACCTTTATTAAAAACCAAGCTAGCAATGTATTCCTGGATGAATTATTTAATAAGTTTTAGTTTTCTTATTTCTTTAATGGAGAAAAAAAAATCACTACCTATCAGAATTGAGAGAGAATTAGAGAAAACATACCTAAAATACCGAACACAGTGACTGGCACATAAAATGACAAAAAAATAATTACTGTCTTGTTGTTATTGGTTATTTTTTAAACACAACTAAGCTTGAGAACATGGAACTCAAACTTCCAAAGTCTTTATGTTCAAAGTCACTGAAAAACTTTTTTTCACATTGACAAACTTCCTTTGAGTCTAACATCTTCATTTATTCAACAGTATTTATTTGGCGCTTTTGACATCCTTAATGTCTAGGATTTCCTCTCTGAGAAAATTAGAAGTATCATTCTTGCCCTCAAAAAACTTACATTTTAGAGGAAGCTAGACTTTAAACAACCAATTATACAGTTACTTAATTACAATTGTGATTCCTTACAAAGAAAGTCTGCTAAAGGGGGAAATAATCTACTAAAATCATAATAATTTAAACTTTTACGCAAGCATCCCACCTCCCTATAAGGGTTTTCAATCATTCCCTCTATAATTAAACCTCATCCAAACCTTTGTATAGACTTGACCTGTCTGGTCTTTAAACCAACAAAATAAGCAATTAACCTGACTCTGGCCATTTTTATATTCAGAACTGTTTACTGAAATTATAGAAACTGTGTACCAGCAAATCATAGTGACTTAATAAAAGAGAAAGTAAAAATGCAATAGTACAGGTAAACATTTGTCAGCTATCCACTATGAAGTCATGTTAGAAAACACATTTCTTGATAGATTATAAAACCAGTATTTTTATTTTAAGTGCATGCCATCATTCATAATGGCTCATTTTTTTGGATTTATTAAAATAAAACATTTATATTTACTGAAAAACAAGTGTGGATTTTAAGATCATAATTCCAACTTGCTTACTAATTATTCATTCAAAACTTTTTAAAATCTGCCACTTAAATTTTTTTTTAATCTAGTCACATCCATTTTAAACACTTCAAAATTCCTATCTTCAGAAGTTAGTACACTATTGGAAAATAATGCCATTAAAGTCCCAAGTAAACATAAAAGGAAAAATTTGAACAACAAATCAACTTTCCCACCAAAATGAAAGTAAGTTTATTCTATAAAATAGAATCTACTTCAATGCTTGTCTTAGATTCAAACAACATTCACCTACAAATTAATTCAACAATTAACCCAGAACAGTCATTGTCAATTCTCCAAAAGTGGCCTCTCCACCTATATTTAGTTCACAAGGCAACCCAGTCCAGGATTCCTGATGCCAATTACAATGAATGGGAGAAACATATTTAAATCAAATAGCACCATCTAGCAGAACCCTCACCACTTTGCTTACAATGTTACTTGGTGTTCAGTCTGGTAGACTTCACAGCAAACAGTAGCAATTATTTATTTTCATGACAGAATCACAGAATTAGAACTAGAAAGGACCACAGACAGGCCATGCGTAACTGCTTCATTATTACCTCAAATTCTAAGAAAAAAATTTTTTCACAAAGTTATTGGGATACAAATTAGAGTCTGCCATTCCTAGGAGTCCAAAATTACTTTGATTGTCAAATTTAACCCGCCCCCCAAAAATAAAATTATGTCTCAGTACTTTCCAATTCCTTCACTCCCAACTACAGGAAATTCAGATACTCTGTAATCATTAAAACATATTCCATTAAATGTTTTTATTTTATCAGATACATCACAACCAATGGTTAATGCACACAAATTAGGCTATTTCAAAACTTCAATTCCAGTAATTGCTGTTTCTTAAACAGGGTCTAATGCTAAGTTTTTTACATATGCCTTTTCACAGCAACATGATCCTCAGTGAAGCTCTTAAGAAAATACTTCTGGAAGAAAAAAAACACACAGTATATCTCCGTTAATTTTGTTTTGTTTTGTTTTGCTACATCAAGGCTGCCACCCCTAAAACCTATGGGAATTGTGTGTTGCTGCCAACACTAAGATTAGGAAATGTTCCTTTCCCTAGGGCACGAAAACTTTCAGAAGACTACTACCTGCCTATAGCAAAGAGGGAAACTCGATTGTCTGGGCATTTATTTACCCAGCTATTTCCGTGCGCAAGGTAACCAAAGTAGCTCTTGAGAGATGCTCTCAGACTTTTCCCCAGTCTGAACCCCCTCAGAAAGGCAGAGCGCGCAGTCACGCTCTGAGTGGAGATGGTTACTGGGAATCACTGTTTCATCTGCGGCACAGGGGTTCTTCCTCAGCGATCACAGTAACTATTCGCTCTCATTTTTAGTAACAACCAAATCACCGTTACAAGTATGTAAGAATAGCAGCAAAGAGCCCTGATTTGCAGTGTGCGGTGACTGTGGCACCCCGGACCAGGAGGGGCTCTTTTCTCGCCAGCCTCCTCTGGGCTCCCACCGAAGTTAACACCTGTATCTCTCCACACCGCGGACCAAACAACTCCTTCCCACCTCAACTCTGCTTCCCTTCCGGCAAATCCAATCCCTTTTCGGACCACCGCCCCCTCCTTGCGCCGGCCGCCGCAGCTCCCACAGCGGCCCCTCTACGCGCCCGAAGACCACCGCCTCGCGGGGACCTTCGCCCTCAGCCTGGGCAGCCGCGGCCCCGCGACGATTAGAAGAGAGCAAATCTCAAAAAAAAAGTTCTCCAGCCGCCGCCACCACCGCGGAGGTGGGTCGGCTGGAAGAGGCAGAAACACCAGCTTCTCCAGCAGATCCCGCTCCTCGGCAGCACACTTTTCCTTCCCAGGAACTCGGGGCTTCTCAGACTCCCAAACTTCAGCAGCGCCCCTGGCAGCCCCCAGCTCCGCTAGGCACAGGCGGCCGCCGCTTTCCAACGCCCGACAGGGAAGCCCTGACGCCCACCCGGCCGACGCCCGCTCACGCCCTGCGAGCCCCGCGCGCGTCTCCGCGCCCCGCGGGGCCCCGCTCGGCCGCTCGGATCCCGGCTTCCGCCCGCCGCGCGCCCGGCAGCGACGCCCTGGCCTCACCCGGCGCCCGAGCCCCCACCGCGGCGTCCCTGGTGCTGCGGGTCCCTGCCCCAGCCTGCCCTTCCAAAAACCCACGTTCCCACCACGCGCCCTCTACGCAGCTGCCCCCTCCCGTCCTTTCCTCGACCCCCAGCGGCTCTCCTGTTCCCCGCAGCCCGGGGCCCCCAGCTCTAAAGTTACTTTGTGAGCTGGTGAACCCACGGGTTATTTCCTTCGATCACCCAAACAAGTTTCCATCCTCGCCCCCAGCACCGCCACCGCTCCCCAACACACTCCCTCCAGCCCTCCAGCAGCTCTCCACGGCCGCCCGCCCCGCGCTGGCACCTCCCGGGAAGCCGCCGCTCCGGGTACCGCACGCCCCCACCTCGCGTACCCCTCCCCCTGCCAGCCCACCCGCGTCTCTCCCCGGGCGGAGTGTGTCTGTGTGTGTCTCCGAAAGAGTGTGCGAGTGCGTGCGTGTGTGTGCGCGCGTGTGAAGGCGGAGGTGGGTGAGAAGCGGAGACACTTACTTCTCCCGGGCCTGGCTGTCGGACGGGACGGCGCTGCTGTTACTCTTGCCTTTGCCGTACATGCTTGTGCCGAGAGCAGCTCCCACTGTCACGCACCTGTCAACCCATCACAGCCTCCCCGGGAACAGCCCCGTCCCCATGGCGACCCACGCAGCCACCCCCACTATTGGCCGCCCCACGCCAAAGCTCCGCCCTCCTCGCCCAGGCAACGCTAGAGACTGACAGGCTTTCTCCTCCCTCCGGCTTGCCGAAACGCGCGGTGGCGGCTACAGCCCAAGCGGCAGTCTCCTCCCTCCCTCCTTCCCTCCCTCCCAGGTTCCCTCCCTCTTTCCCTCTCCCCTCTCCTCCCTCCTCCCGCTCTGCTTCCCCCTCCCCCCTCCGAACCCCGGCGCAAGGGGGGAATTAGAAACTGCTCTAGAAGGATTTTAAACAACTGGCTGTTCTCTCCGCCGCCGCCCCTCCCACCGTGCCGCCCGCGCTCGGCTCCTCACTGGAGAGCAGGCGCCGGGAGGAGGGGAAAGTGCGGCCTGGAGTCTCCGGCTGGAGCTGGCGGAGCCGGAGCCTTGCCAGCCCCAGACTTCTGGGCGCCCGCGGAGTAGACAGACAGACCTACGGCCCCAGCCTTTCTGGGGCCCCCCACCAACGCCCTCTCCCGCTCCTCTCCTGTTTATGACCCCGCGCCGGTACCCAGGATTGATCTTTGCAGCCCTCCGTCCTACTCCCTGGGGTGTCTCCCCCGCCTTGTTCCCAGAGGGCCGGCTGGCAGGGACACATGCGCTGTTCCCTCGACCTTCTGGCTGAGATACCCGGAGCGACTCGCCTCCCCTCCTGGGGAGGGACTGCGCCTCCAGCCCTTGGCGCCGCTCGGGTGGCGTCGCCTGGCCCCTAGGACCGCGCCCTACGTCCTGAGGGAGCACCCTGCCTCGGGCCTGCGTCCTCTCTTTAGAGGTGAGCCTGCCTCCCAAAGATGGCTCCCTGACTGCCGGGGCCTCAGTGGCTCCCTATCCTAACCTCCACTCCTAGAGCCTCGTAGCGCACCACACACCACTCTGCTGCGGAAAAAGGCCCCAGGCATCCCCACCTGGCCTGATTTCCCAGCCTGGGTCTGGGGTGCCAGTGGAAAGGCCCATACAAGGCCTTTAAAGACATCCCTGTCCTTGTCCATCAGAGTAGGCCCTATGGTCACTCCCAGGTGTGCAAAACTGTGCAAGAGTTGAAAGCTGCCCAAGAATCTAGATCCAAGCCCCCAGGCCCATTTCAGTAAATGCACGAAAATTCCTGGAACACACAACCTGGTTCCTGGTAGAACTCCATCCTTTATCTTCTGGATGTAAAATCAGTGCAAATAGAGATGGGCATCAAATAGGGAGTGACAGGTGTAGAGGGGATGCAGGTGGGGGTCAGGGAGAATATCAGGAAAGGATGAGTAGACATGGAACAGCTATGGGAGGGGAGAGGAAATAGGATTCAGATGGGGAAAGGTACTTTTCTATTCCTCACATGTAGCCTTAAGCTTTTAGTAGTAGGAATCTAAAAATGCATGTGGGGATAGGGAGATAGAAACCACGGGATTGTGTGCCCATTGACAGCAAGTGATAGGGATAAAATATCAACAGAAAGTTAGGGAAGAGCAGTCAGTAAAAATGAGAGAGAGGATCAGAAAACGGGCTGGTAACCAAACATAAGAAACTGCGAAAAATGAAGAGGAAGGACCTGCTGTACTAGTGTTAAGGAAATTTTTAAAAATTGGAAAAGGTAAAGTGTAAAAAATAGGAAAGAAAAATAAAAAGCAAGATTAGATGAAGAGGCCATAGAATATAATAGCAAAAGATGACAAAAACAATAGTGGACTGACATCATAAAAAAGAAAAGTGCTCCTATTCAAAGGACAAAAATTTAGCCAATAAAAGAAGTGAGGATAAAGAAAGTGAAAAAAAAATCACATCAGGTGAAGTTGACTAACTTCCAAGAGAAGGAATTTACCATTTCTATCTCAACATTCTCCCTTCTGTTTCTAATGACCTACAGTGATTTGGTGCTGAGATTTGAGTCCATGGCATTCATGGACTCTGAAGAACCAGGAGTGACACTGAGTCAGTAAGAGTCTCTCTTCTGATGAACTTTTACTCAAAATACTGAAATGTGTATAAGGCTGCCACTGTTCACAGACTTTATGTTCAAGGTTAGCATTATGTAATTTATTGTTCAATTATTTACTTTCAATGACTTTACCCCAGAAAGTTATTAGTAATCCAAGGCTTCATCACCCAAAAATTACTCCCTATATTGTGATGCTTAGGAAATGCTGTCAAGGAGGGAGCTGTGTGAGCTGCTGATCCATGCTCCTGCCCATGCCTAGAATAAGGTAAGGTTTCCATTAAAAAACAAGGGTTTCCATTAAAAAAAACAACTTATCTAAAAACAAGTTAGTTATCCTTGCACTCATGTTGGGATTCTTTAAGTATGGTTTTTAGTTGTGGCACATTAGCATTGAATTAGGAGGATTCATCTTTTGTTGATTTTTGTTTGTTTGTTTTGAAAATCAGTCTCTGAGATGCCATCCCAGACTAGCTGAATCAGAAACCTTTGGTATGGACCCAGGCATCTGTATTTTTTGCAAGCTCCAAGTGATTATTCTATGTAAGTAAGGCTGCTTAATAACTCTGCTGTTCAGTATACATTTAAAGACAGCCAGTGGGCACCATCAGATCTCAGAGCAAGATTTTTAGGTTGTGTCTATACACAGCAGATGACCTTCCTCATGTAAGGCATCAAGATATCCTTAGAGTGGACTTTACCTTCTACCCACTGAGCCAGCTGGTTTGTTAATAGGATGAAAATGTATGACCACATGTGTTCTTATAGTACAAGATCACAAATATCCATGGCTTAATTTGCTGTTTCCTAAAGAGAAAGGAAAATGAAGAAAGAAAACAAGAAAGGCTGTTTGCTGTCTACTGCTGTAATTTATTCATTTGATTCATTTGTACCCAGATTTGTTACATGGAAGAGTCCCTTGGGTAATGGCATAGTTTCTGATATTTAAAAAATAAATAAATTATAGATCTGCACAGTAGGGTATGGAATTCAGAATAATTTGGTCTCAGTATCTGGAAAAAATAAAATGCTAAAGGTCTTAGTTCAGAACTTGCCAAGTTAATGTCTACGTTACCTTTACAAGAATGTTATCATCCCACAAATACACAAAACGAAAATATGACTGTTCCTATGCATGGTAACCTTAAAGCTTAAGTAATCAAATCAATTATCATTAAAAAATCTCAGCAGCTATCTGTTTTATTTTCTTCTTAATGTTTACACATGTAAATAAAATGCTTTTTTGCCCTCGTTCAAATTATTTTGAGTACAAAGAGTGTTCTTTGCATCAGCAACTGTATCTCGTGGGGCCAATATTGTAATTAATGAGATTTGAAACACATATTCAGAGCCAAATTTGAGATCTCAGACACAGAAGTGAAGATCCATTGTTTTGTTTTGTTTTTATTTTTAAAAAGGAGTAGGAGATAGGAGATGTAAAACTTCCTAGTGTAAAGAATCATAATATATTTTTTTAAAGTTTGGGTTATTTTTTTAACTTCACATATGAGACTGATTAATTTGTGGGCGATATATTTTGGGCAGGAGAATGCTGACCATCTGAGCTTGCTACATTGCATTTGAGGTCGATTTTTTTTTTAACTTTATTCTTTCAGGTATAGTATACCACAGTTACTCATTCATTAAGTTATCCCCCATGTTTTGTTTTGGCATGTATGCACAATTTTCTCTTTCTGGAACCCAAATCTTATTCTTGGAAGTCTTTATCATTTTAAAACAGGCAGATCATTATACACCCTCCTCAAGCTCTAGATTGACTATACATATCTTTGATCCTAATTTTTTCTCTAAAACATTAAGGTTAGTAATCTCTATAATATTGCAGTGCATGGAACTTCAGAACAAATTTCCCTGTGCTATGTAGAACAAAGAGACTACCTCTTTATGTTTAAGTGAAAGCTAATCATGAGTTTAATTATTTGTATCACATAGAATATTTACCTTGTGAACTTAAAAAAGCTAAAACATGTAGAGTAGAAAGTATTTATTTAGAAAAATTAAACTAAACATGAGAATGAATTTTCTTGTTTAGGGATAATTTTTCCAAAGGACAAAACTGTTCTATTATTTATTTATTTCATTAGACTAATTAGTTTATAAAAATAACATCTCCTTACATTCATAACACTTTTCATTTCAAATTTTTTAATAGATATCCATTCATTACTATTTAATATACCCCAGTTAGATTTTCCTAACCAGCTCAAAACTGGGTAAACTGAGTCTTAGAAAGATTCATTAGCATGATCTGATCCATAAAGAAAATAAAACTAGTTCCAGGATGAGAACTCTATGTTCCTGGCTGACAGTCCTGTTCCCAGACCACGAAGCCGCACCTCTTTCTCTCAGAAGTGACTATTCCACAGAGGAATGTGAGCAAGCTCTGAGATGTTTGTCACTCAACCTAACATATGAAACTTTCACTCCAGGCAACACAGACCAGCATGCTCAGATTCACAAACTGCTCACTTGCCATGTACCAAAGTAATTGAATGAACAGAGTCATTAGAACTATAATACTGTGCAACATGGTCTCTTATATCAGAATAATAAATGAAATGGGGCCTCAAATTAACATTATTTGACATACTGTTATTGGTTTAACATCAGTTAATCTGAGGCAATGAATGTTTTCTTAACCTATTGCTCTGGATTTTAAAATCCCAATTTAGAATTCATAAACACCCATGGATTAGAAGAGACAGTGTGCAGATCTGCCAGTTCTAAACAATTCCATCTCTGGAGTGCCTAGTCTTTTTTTAGCACCATCAAGAATTTGAAATTTAGTAATTTGGAAAAATATAAAATAATCCTGATTAAAAAATTATGCATAAAATGAAGAAAAGTGGAAAAACAGGGCCACCATGTATGGCAATTTCACATACTTAAGCACATTTATAAAACAAATTCCAAGTGTTGCAGTGTTCACTGGCTGGATTTTTGTCATTAAATGTTTAAAGTTATCTAATAGGAAGTATGCCAAAAGTGTTCTTTATTCATAAGTATTACTATATTTTTTTAGTGCATTCCTAAATCTTCACAATGGTTTTTCACCTACTGCACTTATGCCAATATGATGTCTTTGCTCTCCTGGAGTTGATAAAAGCCCCAGTCTCAAGAGGGAGGCTATGCAACATTCCAGGCATTGTCATTTCCTCCTGTTGGGAATGGAAACAAAGAAAGAAAAATACCTACTATATTTGCTATTCATAATTTTCCAACATAGTTGGGTCCTCTTAACCAAGTGTGGCAAGAAAGAAAGATGACAAATTATACCATTGTTGTATTTTATTTACCTTGAAATAGGTTAAGAATAAGGGGTTAAAAATATATTGTATTTTTAGCCTCTTTAACAGTATTAAAAGTCTGTTTAAGACAAGTGCTGAATATAGCCATTGCCAGTAGTAAGTTATAAGATATAAACAATCTTATCAGGGTCATATACACTTGCCAATGATATGCAGGGCACTTTAACATTTTATTTTGGGATGCCCAAAATATGTTTGAAACCAACTGAGCTCCATCCTACATATTGCAGTAAGTTCCTGAAGATTTGTAAGAATTCTGCTGTGGTAATTGCTACCTGCTAATGTCATCAGCAGCAGCAGATTTTACATGTACAAACCAGATTCCTCATTAGATGAATAAGTTTACAATCTCATTATCATCAGCTTTCCAAACTTTTCAGGTCTTTTCCCTTGGACCTGAATTCTTGAGGCAGAATATAGAAGGATTCCCCTTGCCATGCACGTAGTGCTGAACTATTTACTACCAGGCAAATCCCCATTGCCCTCACCCACCTCTAAGAACCACGTTGTCTCTGGTGTTGTGGACCAGTGTTAGGAAAAAGTATGTTTTGTATTATGGTCTGCTACTCTCTGCCTACCTCCTACCCTGTCCTCCCTGCAACACTCGGGGGATTTTTAGTTCTTTGAAAAGAATCTTAGTCAGTGTCTCCAGCCTTATGGACACTACATAGGGCTAAAGTTGTTGCTTTGTGAAAGTTGTTGCTCTGGGTTAAGGAGAGTTCGGGCCAAGTACACTGACCTTTAGAATATTCTTCTTTGTGACTATGTTTGATGCCAGGGTACTCAGAAATTAGACGCATCTGGAGGACTATATCCATTTGTCCTGGCTTTTTAGCCTGGTCCAGTTCCTAGGAGGAAGGCAGACAAATAGCTCATTCCAGTGATGGATGCAGGTCATCTGTGGAGAAGGATGGTTAAGGAAGAACCCAGTTCTGGGCACTCTCTCCCACTCCTCTGCACCCCAGCTTTCCTGTACTGCTGCCTTTGTTCCTGCCTCAGTTCCATGTCCTTTAGGAGGTACCCTTCTCTGTTCTCTTGTTTTGGTATAGTTGGGATTACAGTTCTTTCATTTGCAGCACAAGGAAACATATGCTACATCCATGTCTCAGAACTTTCCTGAAGACCTAGAAATCTCTGTAACGGGTTGTTGGGGTAGGATGGACTGCATCTCATCACTTCAGCTAGCAGTCCATGCAGGTGGCCTCAGAAGGCTTTACCGTGTAACCTCCCACCTTTCCGTTCCTTCCTTTCCCTGTTCCTCTCTTTTCCCCCTTCCCTTTCTTCTGCCCTTAACCCCTGACAAAAAGGATAAAAGTTGAAAGGAATAGGGAAGTTTCTTGAGAACATATTATATTGAAATGTAAGGAACTGCTATTTTTTTTAAGTAAAAAATGGTTAAGTGTTAGCAACATTATATGGTTCAGTCATGCAAGAACTTAGTTCTTACAAACCATGCCACAGACTTCTTATGTATTAACAACACTAATATTTATTAAGCTCTTATAATGCGACAGGCACTAGGTGTTTTCCATAGACTATCTTACTCAGTGATCTTCACAGCCTTGGAGGTAGGTGTTATTGTTCACAAATGTTTCTGGTTCACACAACTTGTGAACAACAGGATTGTAATCTGCACCCAGGCAGCCTCTGTCTTCAGGCCCTCTCAGGATCAATTCTCGGATCCATCCAATCGCCATTGCTCCTTAACATTTATTCTTTCATGTGCTATGATTCTGGAAGGGCAAGCTTCTCTGTGAATTCAGGTCGGATTAAATACAGGCAGAACTCCTTGAGTAGGGCTTAGGGAATCTTGCTCAGCATAGTAAGCAGTAATGATTCTGTTCTTGTAGCTGAGCCCCCTGATTAGGCAAAATCAGAAACACCAAGCCACACCCTGCTTCATTGCAGCCTTGTCCTCTATCAAGTATATCATTTCCTC